GTCAAGTTTGGGGTCAGCTCTATGCACAGAGCTTCCCTTCAGGTTAGAGGTGACTGACAGCTCAGCTTCCAGAGCATACATCTCTCTGGGTACGCAACACCAGACTGAGGTGGTCTTGGTTTGGTTGTCCTTGCCTGGCCATGGGAATTAAATGCTTGGTCCCATGTCCTCAGAGGAGGGCAGTCACTGAAGTGGGGGGTGAGGACATGTCCTCCCTACGCCCCTCTTCCTGGTTTCCCTGGTGTCTTCAAGATCTCCAAGGGGGACGCCCTGGCTCCTCCCTGGCCCCTCCTCACCCTCTTCTGTGCGCCTTCCCCAGGGTCCCTCCTAAGTGAATGTCTTGTCGCCCCTTTGTACTGATGGTTTCTAAATCCGAGTCCAGCCTCAGCTTCTCTCTAGGGCCTGGGATCACATTTTCTTTTCTTTTCCAATATTCCTACATTTTTAGCTATCTACAAAAGTAGTAGGTACTAATGGCCTCAATTTTAGAAAATACAAGCAAGCACAAGAGAGAAAAGAATGAAGTTTAGATGACCTAACGCCCCGTGACAATCCCCCCACCCGTCTGGGGCCTCCCCCAGCCCCCTCTCTTCACATAGGCAGGAGCACATTAAACTTTCGAAAATGTGATCACACTGTCCATGCTTCTCCCACATCCCTCCTCAGCCCACAGTTTATGGAGGTCATATTTCTGTGTTACTGAACACTCTTCCATGACATTTTATTTATTCATTTTTCATTTTTGCACAATGTATGCATTTTCATCTTGGTTATAAAATTCCCACCACCCTTGTTTTGATCCTACTCCCTTCTCCCCCCCTGTAGTGTGTCTCTGGTTTATAGTTGCTTGTTGATTTTGATTTTGACTTTATTATATTTAGTCTTTTTCCTCATCCCTTATTTAGGATTTCTAAATTCCTGCTATGAGTGAGGCCATCCGGTATTTTTCTTTTTCTTTCTGGCTTATTTTGCCGAGCATGATCCCTTCCAGCTCCATCCATGTTGCTGCAAATGGCATGAGATTATCTTTTTTGATTGCTGAGTAATATTCCATGGTGTATGTGTACCACATCTTCTTGATCTAGTCTATTTTTGGGTGTTTTGGTTGCTTCCATAGCTTACCTGTTGTAAATAGTGGTGCAATAAACATAGGGGTGCAGGTGCCCTTTTGAATTAGTGTTTTTGTGTCCGTTGGGTAGATATCGTCCATGATATTTTAAATGGCCTCATAGTGATCTGCTGTGTGACTGTGTCAGGGGTTATATGATCAGCTTTGTTAGTGTAGGTTGGCTCCTAATTTTTTGCCATGATGGACAGTGATGTCATGAAATCCTGAGCTATACATTCTTAGTTATCCTCAACTCTTTCCTTAAGGATAAATTTCATAAAATGGAATGACTGGGTTAATGAGTTTGTCCTTTTTTTTTTTTTTTCTAACACTCACCATTTCATCAAGCCATTTTCCAAAAATATCTGCACTTATTTACATTCTCACTGGAAGTGTATGAAAGTACCTATTTTTCTTGCAATCCTTAGAAATGCAGAGTTTTAGTAGTTTGAGGAGGAGACAAGCTGATTTGGATGTTTAAGATTATCACCCTTTTTTTGGTTTTCATTTAAAGTTACCCTATTCCTAGAGAGATTAAATACATTTGCTGCATGTTAATTTGCCCTTTGTGTTTTATTCTCATGTGAAGTAACTCTTAAATCTTGTGACCAGTGTTAAATTGGGGATGTTCATCCTTTTCTTATTGCTTTATAAGCGCTCTCTCCATGTTAAGGATATTAACCTTCGCCTACTCTATAGATTAGAAATAGATTTCTCGGGTTCTCATTTGCCTTGCAGATTTGTTTATGATATTTATTGACTGGATTGCATTACTGCCTACTTGCTAGACATCTTTTCTTATATGACTCAATGACATTTCAAACTTCACATATCCAAATTGAAATTCATTATTTCCCCCACCCTAACCTGCTCTTCCTGCTGACTTGCTTATTTCTGTTAATGTCACCCCCATTTTCCTAGTCACTCAGGCTTGAAATGTTGAAGTCATCTTTGATTCCATCTTCTCTCTTCTCCTCTTTGTGCCGCCGGTTGCCAACTCCTATTTCTGCAGCTCCTCTACCGGCAGCCCCTCCACACAATGGTAGCTTAGGTGCTTATTATTTCTTGACCAGACTGTGAAAATGGCCTCATATGTTCACCGGTTGCTTCCCCAACCCCAGTCCTTCCAGCCTTCGTGTTCCCCTCACACTGTCACCACACTGATCTTCCTAAAGCTGAGCCAACGTAGACTTCCCTGGTCACACCTGCCGGCAGCTCCCTCATTGTCATGTATTTAGTGACAACCTCCTAGCCTGGCCATAATTTCCTTCCAACCAAATCTCCCATGATCTGGGCCAGTTTGCTCTCAAATAAGCTCATTGCTTCCCTTTCCCTTTTTGCTCAAGGTATCTCCTCCTTCTAGAATTCCCTCCTACCACCTTTACCTTCTCAGATCCATCCCCTAGTTCCCCACCTTAGTCCAGCACCTACCCAGGCTTTTCTGACTTTCTTCTTATTTTTCATTTAGTGGTTTTGAAGTCATGTTGGTTTGTACCATTTTATAGACTTCAGGTGTTCAGATCTGTCTGTCAACATCTGTATATGCCACATGTGCTCATCACCACAATTCTGGTTTCCATCCTTCACCATCCAACTGAACTTCAGTACAGTTTTCTTGGTTTTGCCTTGTAAAACACACTTCACTCCATCATCTAGTCTTAGAGTCCTTCTTGAAAGCAGAGTCCTTTGAGGGTCTGACCCTACAGCACCTGCTTTTTCACAGGCCCCCCATGGGAGCTTGCTGCACACAGGGTCAGCAGGCATCTGTGGAAAGAAAAGTCACACCCAGGTAGCTGAGTGTCCAGGCATCACGGGTCGCTGCTCTTCCCACCCCACCCCACCCTCCGGGACAGGCCACACCTAGCAGCTGATGGGCAGAGCACAAGTCCCTTCTGCAGGAGGCTGACCGGGCGGACAGCCTTTGGGACCAGGGGCTGGGCCATCATCACCTCTGTGTCCCCATGACCTGTGGTTACTGAGCTGGGTGCCTGCAAATCCGCAACTCCGTCTGTCTCATGAATGCAGAGTGTGGCCCGTGTAGACATGGTGTGAGTTGTCTGCTGGGGAAAGAGACTCAGGGAGCCCCATGGAAAATGGGAGCTTGGAGTGAGAGCAGAATGGCAGCTAGGGGATACAGGAGAGCCCCGTGACCTTGACCGTGCAGGATGCCTGGATCAGCTAGGCCTTTGTCACTTTTTAACGTATTAAATAGAGTCAAGTTTGGGGTCAGCTCGATGCACAGAGCCTTCTTCAATGTTAGAGGTGACTCTGCAGCCAGCACGGGAGTGAGCAATTGACACAGTCTATTTTTAGCCTCCCGGAGACCGTGACCAACATCCCAAGCTGAGGGTGGGCACACCTGCTGCATTCTAATGAGGCAGCCCTGGTTGCCTCTGCCAGCCAGCTTCGGATCTCACCGACCTGAAATCTGATGTTGCTAAACTGGGAAGCCTGTTTATTTCCCAGAGGCTGTAGCCTAGATACACCAGGAAAATGGGACCATCATACTCCCTGCTCACTCTGTTCCAGCCTGGGACACAGAGCAGTGTTGGGCCGTGCCTCCTGCACGATGGAGGGATGGAATCACTTGGATTTCATGATCTTGCTCTGTCCTAGAAATCCCCATTCCCTTTCCTGGAGTCTGAGCTGACCCAGCTTACAGATGAGAAAACTGAGGCATAGAACAGGGACATGTTTGTCTCATCCGTATAATAACAGCAACCACAGTCATCGTCATCGTCTCATGGAGCACTTACATATGGCAGGGAGTGGTATCTAAATGCTGTCGGTGGTGACAAGTGACTTCCCAAGTACATTTGTCAGCCTTAGGTGCAGGGCTGGGTTTCAGAGCCAGGAAGTACAATCCCAAGATTTGCCATCTGCCTCTCAGCATCTATTTTTACTTTCACTAGAACAAGGAGAGGACCCAGGATCCCAGCCCCAGAGCATGCACTCCCGGGTACTACCGCCTCTAGATTTTCAAATTCTACCGCTCTCTGGCTTGTGCTATGCAGTGTGTGCTTGGATGTCTCAGCTCAGTGGGCAGCATTCCTTCCTTCTGGCAGAACTAGGCTTCCACAAGGAAGTCTGAACCTCTGGGTCCCCTTCTCTCCTTAGCCTGTGATGGTCAGCAGCAGTGGGGTGCAGAACTGGACTGGATGCTTGGATTGGGGAACCCAGAAAGGGCAGTAATTGGCAGGCAGAGGCAGGTGGTCACTGTCAGTGGCGGTGATCACAGTTCAGAATCAGCTTCAGCTGAAGTTACTCACAGCGTGAATCAGAAACTGGATGGGAAGACATCAGGTGTAAGATGCCGGCACTGAAGAGACCTGCATTTGAAGGGCTGTGGGCTGCCTCTTGAGGGGAGAGAAGGGTGTCCTAAGGGTGCAGGTGGGATTCGTTTCAGTTTAACAAACACCTACTATGTGCTTGATCCCTTTGTCAGCACTTTACAATGCTAACTTGTCTAACCCTAGGAACTACTCCCAATGTGGAGATGGGGAAACTGAGGCAGAGAGGTTAATAACCTTTCCTATGGTTATACACAGCTAGCAAGTGCCAGAGCCACTTCAAGGCTCAGTAGACTGGCTCTGAAATCTGCACCTTTGCCACCTTGCTACGTGATGCATCTTTGCGAAAGATTTGGAAACTGAGGCCTTGAATAGCTCAGGTCACCCAGCTAGTGAGAAATGGAATTGGATGAAATTCAGGTCTTTTTGGCTTTTCAGTATCTTACCACCTCTCCCCAAATCACAGCCCATCTGCCAGCAGGCTCCAGGGCACCACCAACCCCTTTGGAGTGGCTACTGTGGCTGGTTGGAGGGAGGAGGGAGGGGTGAATCTCAGAGGAGGAGGTGCTGCTGTTAATACAGGTTCCCCTCTCTTCCCGCAGGTGAGCAGCCCCCCCGTGCAGCCCCCTCAGCCTGTGGTCCCAGCCAAGCCTGCACAGTATGTCCATCATGTGTCCACCCAACCCAGCTGCCCAGGACGGGGCAAGTTGTCCAAGTTGCTGAATCCAGAGGAGATGACCTCGCGAGATTATTACTTCGACTCCTACGCCCACTTTGGGATCCACGAGGTAAACCCTCTCGAGCTGATGGCTGCCCGGGGCCGGCTTGGCCCTGCTGTCTCATCATTGTTTGTTGAGGCAGCATGCACTCAGCTCTCTGCTGTCATAAAGTGAGTTCTCCCCGTGGCCCCTGTCCCTGACCCTCTCTGTATCCGTGGGCCCCTTGGGAGGAGATCGCCGTCAGGCCTGGAGCAGGGGCATAGGTAACAGTGTCTCTAGGTGCAAGAGAGCCAGGAGGTGCCTAGGATTTCTATTTCTCCTCCTGATCCTGAGCCTTGCTGATCCGGGGAGGGTTGGGTGTGCTTGGTCCTTGCTCTAGAAGTGCAGATGCTAGAACTTTCTGGAGGTCAAGGTGTCCTGTCTTTAGACCCTTGAACCCTTAGACTCACCCGAGATCCAAGAGTACCTCCCGGGAAAGAAATGCAGCAAGCTTCTTGGGAACCTGGTCCAGGTCTGATACCCAGATAGATTCTCAGTAAACTCTGATGTCTAAGCGCTTGTTTTCTACCACAGCAGGGAAGATTATGCTAGTTGTGGAACAGAGCAGAGCCGCCTAACCCAGGGACTTCCTGACTGGAGTGGATGGCTGGTGGGGGTAGAGACCTGGTACTTTTACCTCCACCTCCCCGGTGTAATCTGCAGCACTCTCAAGTCACCCCAAATAAACAAATGACATTCCCAGAATGCTTACTCGGTGCCAGGCACTGCACTAAGCACATTATCTGTATCATTTCATTTATTCCTCCTAAGAACCCTACGAAGAAAATATTTCTATTATCTCCTAATGGTATGAAGAAATATTGAGAAGGGAACAAAGGTTTGCTTGTTATGCAAAGCATTTTCAAAATAAATCTTCAAGCTCCCTTCCAATAGATGCTTCTGTAAGCCCTTCTGTATCGAAATGGCGATACTGCTGTTGCCAGAAGTGCCTTTGATAATGAGAACCAGCAAATTTTTTTTTGTGTGTGTGTGGTTTTTGAGTGATTAGCACATGCTGGGTGTTGTTCCAAGCATTTTATATTGTTCATTTACTTATTCCTCAGGCCAACTCTATGAGGTTGGTATTATTGCTTGTCCTCATTTTGCAGATGAGCAAGTGAGATGTTAAGAACCAAGTCCCTCCTCGTACATCCTTGCTGGTTCCTTTGTATGCAAAATCCCAGCTAATAACTGGCAGAGTTAGAAACTGAACCTTGACATTTCAGGTCCGGGAGGGGGGGGCGGGGGGGGGCTTTGTCCCCAACTACTAAGACATGTAGGTTTTAAAACAGGTCTTTCTTTCTGGAAGCTCTTTGCTTCTGCAGGTTTCTTTGCAATTCCATATGGAGAAGGGGTTTCCCATTATTTCTAGACTTGGGGGCCCATTTACACCAGGGACACTTGAGGTTTAGCCCCTGAGAATTTCTCTCCAGATAGAATGGTTGGGCCTGGGGACTGCAAGGAGGATAGGGCCCTGCATTCAGTTCTGGGGGTCCTGGCCCTGCAGGACCCGGGCAGCCAAGCCTGATACTCTGGTAGATCAAAAGCCCTCTCAGGTCTGATGAGTCTGCTGGCTAGTGCCCCTGTTCCCTATTGGGGTGGAAGTTAGACTGGAGCCTGGAGCCCTGTCCTGGGCTTGGAAGAGGCTCTGGGAGTCAGGAAGTACTCCTTCAAGTGCTCTCCCTCTTCAAGACCTTGCCTTTAATGAAAGCATCTCCCCGTGGCAAATTCTGACAGGCCTGTGGTTATGGGCACCTATTTCAAGACAGATTTCTGGTAGGAGAGAGCAGTTCTAGGGGTCCTAAAATGCCTCCCCTTGGGCCTGAAATCCACCTGTTAGAAAGTCACCAACAGCAAGGAATCTTATGCTCCCCACCCTCCCTCTTCAGGCTCCCCTGACCTTAGAGGAGTCTGATAGATTCTCGGACGCTGCTAAGTCCTTGCTGGGCTAGGACTTGGTTCGCCAGCCTTTAACCCAAAGATTTACTGACATGCCTGCTAGTATCCGCACACAGGGAATGTCTGGCCAGCACCAGAACCAGGCATCCAGGAGGCTGTGACTTCCACTGCAAGATGACACCCAGTGTCACCAAATAAATACTGTCAGAGTCCCTCAATTTGGTGTGTTAGTAGAAAAATTGAACTTGCACATGAGCATAGTGTAGCCTGAGCTATACATGTGGAGCCAAGGATCTGTGGGTCATAGATAACATTTCTTTGCTTTGTAGGCTGTTCTACAATAGTTTTTAGCAACCTTTTGCATCAGAAAGTGCTTCTGGACATCTAACTTAAATTTCTCCTGCTGCTGCTGCTGCTGCTGCTGCTGGGGCATCTCTTGCTGCTGGCTTCTGGGAAATGCACAGGTCCTGTAAAGGAGATCCACCCGGTTAAGCTACCTTCACCTCTGAGGCTTCCCTCTAGTTGTATTTGGCCTCCCAGATTATCTGGTACAAGAGGCAGCCAGGGCACGTGGAGGAACTCTCAACATTGTTCCTTGCAGGGAGAGGGCATGCTCACTTCTCGTTATCAAGCACAGGGGATCTCCCTTTTATGCCAGACGGCTTGTGACAATGCCTTTGCCTCCTCAGTCTGGGCAAGACCCATACTTGCCATCCGAGCCAAGCTGGCCATTTGGCAGTCTCCTTCTATCATTAACAAGATGCTCATGTGGGCAGCAGTGTGGCCAGCTTCTGATTAATAGTGATCAATGAGTGTTTAGGAAACATGGTGTGGACGGATTGGGTTTGATTCATCTGTAAATACAGACCACAGGGGAGGGCACTGTGGGGGGCCTGAGGAAGCACATCAGGAGGTGATTCTGGACAATTCTGTTCCTTCACCCTGTGACTGTGTCCAGAAACCATCGGTACTCAGCCTCCAGAGGACATGGGCTGGGGAAGAGGATAGTGACCTTGTACCCATCACAGAGCTTCTCTGAGAAGAGTGGTATCTTGGACAGCAGCTGAAGTGACAGCTGTGAGCTCATGGAGACCTCTATTCAGAGGGGAGGGGCCAGCCCCACAAGCACCCTGATCCCAGCTCTGAATTTGCAGCATCTTTGATAACCCACTGGCCCTGGGTGCAGTGCCTCAGTCACCAGAAGAATTCCTGGGCACCAATCCTACTCCCTGCCAGCTCTCCTCTTTTGACAATCTTGCTGCAGATCCTTTTGAGAGTCTTCAGGTCTTCATTTCCCAGCAATTTGTCAATGTGCTACCACATGTTTACAGGCCAGGCAGCTGAGAGACAAAGTTCTCTGCTGCTCTGGCCAGGAACCGTTTTCAATAGTGACATGATCCTGTTTGAAGAGTCTGGAGACTTCATGCTCTTCTCCTAGCGATGATTGAAGTAAATTGGAGGAAGGGTAGAGTGCCTTTTCTTTTGGCAGGCCAAGTAGAGGGAGTCTTGTTAAGTCAGAACTCTTGTGCCAGAACTTGAACGTTTAGACACAAGACTCCTGCAGTCTGGAGCCTTAAGGAATGAAAGAAAGAGCAAAAGATGAAACAGGAGGAAATGAATGGATGGGAGGAGGGATTCTGTAGAGCTCCCCTTTAGCAACAATAGGTACTGGCCCAATTTAATTGCATCAGAAAGGAACTTAGGACTTTTAGCTATGGCTATGATGGAGAGGTTTTTGAAAACTTTGCTGTTATTTGCCTCCATACCTGGCTCACCCTCAACTATTTCCTCATGTGGATGAAAGGGACATGATTGTCACAAAGAGTCAGAGCTAACACTTTGGTAACACTTACTGTATTTATTCAATCATCACAGCAACCTTACCAAATAGGAGCTATTACTGCTTATTTTCCAGATGAGGACATTGAGACATAGAAAGCTAAATGATGTTCTGGGTCAGAGAAATCAAAAGGCACCAGAGCTAAGATGTGAAAAGACTCCAGCATGGTTGTATTCAATCCTTCAATCCCAATGCTCTGCCGTATTCCTCTTTATAGCACATTGGCAACGCACCATGCCCGGAGCCTGGGCATGGGGATATCGTCTTGCTCTCTGACAGTTTTGAGGTCTTGCCATTTTGAGGACTAGCAGTCTTATAGCATTCAGCCCCAGAGATATTCTGGAAAGAGAAATACTTTCAAAGTATTTAGAGTCAGAAGGGAATGGAATCTACCCAAACTCTCACCTTATTCAACTTCTAATATGATTAAATGTAGGAACCCCTGAGGCAGCACAGGAAGTATTGATTGAGTTGAAAAGCGAAAACAAGATCTTTCAGCCCTTTAAGGTTGAATTCCAAGGCCTTGATAAAGGGATTAAAGTCACAGCCCGATCTGAAACCTGAACAACTCCAGATTGGCTCCAATGACCAGCCCTTCACTCTAGCCTGAGCAAGAAAATGACATCTCCTTTGGGAAAACCAACAATAACAACAAAAAACTAACTTGGTCTACTATTGTTCCTTAGACACCACCCCCTATGGTATGAAATAAAAATGATAAGACAAGTGAAGAAATAGGAGCATTTGCCCCATACTCAAGAGAAAAATCAGTGAATAGAAACAGATCCATAGATAGCTCAGAGGTCAGACTTATAAAAGACTCTAACAAATATGATTTTTTTGAATTATTTAAATTTTATTTTTCTATTCCCCATACAATTACAACCCCCTTATTTTGACCCCAAGCCCTCCTTTCCCTGCCCCCCAACCCCCACAGAGTGTCTCTGGTTCATAGTTGTTTGTTGATTTTGATATTTTCTTTCTTATAGTTATTCTTTTTCCTGGTCCCTTATTTAAGTTTTCTAGATTCCTGCTATGAGTGAGACTGTTATAGGACAGGGAGAGGGGTAGCCCAAGCCCCGCAAACCTGCCTATTCTAAATGGGTTCTGCCATCCGCCGCATCAACACAAAACATATGAGACTTTAATGGGAAGGAACTTTAATAAAACTAGGAAACAATACAGGTAAGGCAAAGAGTCTAGTTTCTAAATGAAGCACCCAAAGTTACCCGTCCCCTCGTGGGTAAAAGTCCATCCATATGGGATTGGCCCAGAACAAGGCCCCAAAGCC